CCTTGTGTGAAGCTTTTACCTCAACTTAATTGTTGTAAGGATCAATTATTTGGCGCGAGGAAATGTGCGTGTCTATGCTTAAATTCTTGAAAGCAAGATATACAGCACACATTTAGCTGCATATATGCATCTGTATTACGTGTAGCTTCATTTTGGCTAGAAGATAATTGACGTGTTGCTCGTATTTTCGTCTTATCAGGGTGGTTTCGATATGATTCGCAGTGGAAGGGACAAGATTGAATCTCCAGAGCAGGTGGCTCTTGTTTCCTTTGTGAAGATATTCATGTTAAGTATGTTTATCTAACCAAGTAACCATTTTAAATGGATATGTATTGTAGTTTAAACAAGCACAAGAAACAGCCGTGAAGCTTGATTTGGATGGGCTTGTTGTTATCGGTGGAGATGACTCAAACACAAATGCCTGCCTCCTTGCTGAAAACTTCACGTATGTTGTGAAGAAGCTCTTTGGAATAATTTTACTTGCCATTCCAAACGTGGTGCCCTTTGATGCAATTATGAGAGTAGGTTACTTTTTGTTTTGATATAATTGTTTCTCGGGTTTTGTAATTTTTTTCTTTATCTGTTAAACCAGGGTGAAGAACTTGAAAACTCGTGTGATAGGTTGCCCCAAAACCATTGACGGTGACTTGAAATGCAAAGAGGTCCCCATAAGTTTTGGATTTGACACTGCTTGCAAGGTGACTATAACCATATTTCTTTTTCTTTTGGCACTATCAATAACTCAAATGTACAGGTCCATGTTGTATTGTTATTAATTTTCATCTTCTCATCACAAACATGAAAGCACCTTTAATTCCTATACCTAAAGTATCATGTGTAAATTCTTCCTAATCACAGGAGTTCAATGAGCATTTAGACACTTTATAGCTAAAATTCACTCTTCTAGCATAATTGTAATAGGCTGTTAAAAACTTTATGCAGATATATGCAGAAATGATTGGCAATGTCATGATAGATGCCCGGTCAACTGGAAAATATTATCATTGTAAGTAAATCAAATTTCTACTAGATACATATTTAAAATTTTCAATCTTATGTTTGCGGTGTAAAATATAATTTTGTGCTTCTGTCTGCAGTTGTACGACTTATGGGGCGTGCGGCTTCACACATTACATTAGAATGTGCTTTGCAAACTCATCCAAACATTACAATTATTGGAGAAGAGGTACTTCAGTTATATTTTTCATCATACTCAATTTGCTCATATCGCTTTTTTTTATTAATTAAATTGGTATTAACGCAATAAGAATTGGTGTCTCTGTCACAACTTGATCGACACTTACTTTCTAATGTTCATCATGTATTCTTGTGGAAACTAATATGGTGCAAAGTAATCTATTGGTGCAACCAAAAGATATCCATTTGCCGAATACATCTGACTTATATCTTTCTTCAGGTTGCTGCAAAGAAGCTGACACTGAAAAATGTCACTGACCACATTGTGAATGTAATCTTGAAGCGTGCTGACCTTGGTTATAACTATGGTGTCATACTTATCCCTGAGGGTCTAATTGATTTCATTCCCGAGGTATTATCCTTGATCTTTAATATGACAACTTGAAACCCTTCTTTCTCCTTATTCCTTTGTTTACTTGGAAAGCAAGTGTGCTAACTTATAATGTTTTTAACCTTGCTGTTTGCAGGTGCAGCAACTTATTGCTGAATTGAATGAAATTCTGGCCCATGAGGTTGTAGATGAAGATGGGCTGTGGAAAAAGAAACTTACAAGCCAATCTCTAGAGCTTTTTGATTTCCTACCTGAAGCAATCCAAGAGCAGTTGATGCTTGAAAGAGATCCTCATGGAAATGTCCAGGTAGATTTTTCATTTTCCAATTTGACTTAAATCTGTCCTGGGATTTTCTGGGCACATCATGCATACTAATGTTTATTTTTACCACTAGGTTGCCAAAATAGAAACAGAGAAGATGCTTATTCAAATGGTTGAGACAGACTTGGCGAAGAGGAAGCAGGAAGGTTCATATAATGGCCACTTCCAAGGACAATCTCACTTTTTCGGGTACTTAATTTTTAACGTAATGACATAATCCTTTGGCTAAATGTGGTTTCAATGATTAAGAATAAGTGCAACCCATGAGTTGGGGCTTTGAGGGTAACTGATTCGCTCGCTGGCATGGATTGATCAGGATACAGGTTTAGTGGTTGTGTATCGGAGATATTGCTTAATGTTTGCATCCCTATTTTTGTACACATTTTGTCACTTATTTTTTGTAGGTATGAAGGAAGATGTGGTTTACCAACCAACTTTGATTCTACATACTGCTATGCATTGGGTTATGCCGCTGGAGCTCTCCTTCACAGTGGAAAAACTGGGTTGATATCATCAGTTTGTACCTCTATCCTCTGTCTCATTTATTCAGTCTGCCAAAATATATTCTTTCTTAATTAGGCTTGTATTAGTTGCCGTTGGTTCCGTATTCCATTGTCGTAGTTGTATCATTTCTTAATATTAAGTCTTTTTATGCATGTTATTTTTCGTGACATGGATCCAGGTTGGGAATTTGGATGCCCCTGTGGAAGAATGGACGGTTGGTGGAACGGCATTGACTTCATTAATGGACGTGGAAAGGAGACATGGTATAGTAAATCTTTGGTTATTGTTTTTATGCGGTTGTAGGTTCTTTTCCCAGGTCCTAGGCATACCATCAGATCATTGTCTCTCCGAAAATATTGACAGTTATCTTTATACTGATAAATTGCCTTCTGTGTTTTTCAAAAGTTTTCCTTAGGAAAGAGTACTTTAGGATCTTATATAAGACGTACTTGGTTGTATCTTGGCAATCTGATTCCTTCTAAATTATTGGAGATTTTCTGATTGTTGAATTTGTTTTCCAGGTAAGTTCAAGCCTGTCATCAAGAAGGCAATGGTAGAACTTGAAGGTAAAGATTTCTCGAGAGTATTTATGTTTCTGTTTTTCGGCATAGTGTGATTCAAGTATTATGTTATAACAATCACACTTAAACTCTTGATTTATGTTGAATTTTCAGGTGCACCATTCAAGAAATTTGCATCCCTGAGGAACGACTGGGCTATCAACAACCGTTACATCAGTCCTGGTGGGTTATGAATACCTATATTTTATGAACTTCATGAGTTTTTTTCTTTTCTCAGTCTTGGTTTTCTCCACTGTCATGGTTGGCCTGGTTTTTCCGAGTCCAACAAAACTATCAGCGATTACTGTTAGCCATGAGTAGACTTGGCATTTTGGACCCGACCCGTTAACCCGACCCAACCATACCCGTTAATATTAGTATTTGGGTGGATGCTTAACGGGTCGGGTCGCTAACGGGTGAACCCGTTAAATAACGGGTCACTTTGGGTCAACCCATTAGACCCGTTAGTTGAGGATGTTTTAGTAATTTTAATAAAATCTTAACAACAAAAAATAAACTCTATGCAAAAAAAAATAATAATAATTGTTAACGTGTGTTAACGGGTGAAACAGGTCGGGTTCAGATGACCCGTTAGCTTAACGGTTTGGGTTCGGGTGATACGTTAACTTAACGGGTCGGATTGAACCTGATCCAAACCCGATAAACCCGACCCGTTTACAGGCCCATGAGTCGATATTGTGATTTCCATTTTAACTGCAGCTACATTTCTCCACAACTAATCTGAAAATCTTTCCATTGCAGGTCCCATTCAATTTCATGGCCAAGCATCCAACGCTCTCAGCCACACGCTACTCTTGGAACTCGGAGTTTCTGTTTAAGCTTAGAGTTTCATGTAGCCCTTGCTTGTGAAATTTCATATGACCTTAGGAAAAGTTGTGTTCTCTTGCGTTTGAGTAGAATAGTGACTTTATGCTCAAGGACGACAATGTAACAAAATTCTGCATCGAAGTGTGTTAAGACAATGTAATAAATAGGTATGTGAGAAATCACTTCCCTTTACTGTTCTCGATCCAACAACCATGGATATCGCATCAACTATTGATCGTCAATGGGGATCGTCAATGCGTCCCAACCAGATCCTCTACTGTGGTTTTGTAGTTCTTGGTTTTTGACCTAATCTTTAGGAGAATTTCAAACCTAGTGGTACTTGTTGGATAATTATCTATTAGTTTTATTTAATTCATTTAGTTAATTAGATAAATAATCCTTATTTGTCGGAGAAAATACATAGTTAGTGTTTGACCTAATCCCAACAGTCTAGGGTTGTTAGACGTGGAATTTTTTTCTGATTATACTTGTTTCTTGTATGCTAATTAAGCCAAACTTTGGAGTCAATGAATAAAAGGATCATTCTCTCATACTTTTGCACTCTTTAGAATTCAACAGTACGTAGTACGTACCAGAAGCAATGACAATTTTTGGACGAGTGCTGAGAACTGCTCGAACATGGCGATCCTCCACCCCCCTCCGTCAAACCCTAATCCTCCTCCGCGCGCGATCTCACCTGACCTTCCATTTCCTCCTCGCCGTCTCTGCCACCGTAAGTAACCCTCTCTCCGTCAACCTTTCTAAAATTACAAGAATTTTCGTGGTAAATGGTTTGCATTATTTATTTTTATGAATGCTCAAGATTAAGAGTGATTGGGGCGTTTTGTTGTTGGTTATGTTAGAGATTATGCTATTTTGATCGTCAATTAATTAACTAATTAACTATAATTAGTTGGCTTGTTATGCTCAAGAATAAGAAATTTATGCATGCTTATAATTGGCAAATGCAATGCAGGCTGTTCTGAGCACCAATTTCCTTCCAATACTTCTGAGATTTAATACTTCTGAGATTGAGAATCAGGGGCCGAAATCCGTGCGGAAACTAAAAGCTGTGTTTGGGGTGCTTGGGTTTGGGTTTGCAGCTGCGTTATGTTCTCGCATTATGCAGACGCGGCTGAGTGTTTCATGAGAGTGTAAAGAGAAGAGACCTCAGTATACAATCAACTGATACAGCTTTAGCCAATGCACTAAATGGCTCCTACTTAGACAGTAACGTAACGTACTAACGTACTTGTGCATACTCGGATTATTATGTCAATTAGCAATCCATACTTGAACTAGTTTCATTCTGAATTAATTTTTTTTTTTAATTCTGCAGGATATTGGTATTTCTAAGCCCGCATTGTGCACAATTCCTGGTGCTGTTGAGGGACGAAAGGTTATTGCACTTACTTAATATATTATGTGTGGTTTGTTTGTTCGATCATAAAAGAATCCATATGTATCACTCTTTCAAACAGTAATTGACACGAGCTTCACTGCGTATAGGTTTCAATCAAGATTCAAATTCCTGCGACACGTGATGCTGCACAGCTAATTGCAAATATTGCTTCTGATCTTGGACTAATATACGTGTTCCTTCCATATTTCTCTTATTAGTTGGTTCTATCAATGTTTCTTCAGTTCTAACTATCACATTTGGGTTATATTTATGCTGCGTTTTTTAGCCCTATATCATTAATTGTGGGTTTGTGAATCAAAATATGCTTAATAGTGCTATATGTCCTTGTGAACTATGTCAGTCGAATTTATTGGCAAGTAATGCTAGCTCGCCCAGAGAAAAGAAGAAATTGGAGGTGAAGAAGGGGATCTGTGAATTCACGTATTCCGCTCAGTAATTCCCTTTTCAGATAGATTTGTAAGTCTACGTTTTATGATGGTTACGAACATTTTGCCCTGCAGTTGGTCTTGTTTTACTTTATGCTGCTGTTTCAGTTTACCAAATGTAATAAAGTGGTTGCTTTTGAAACTTTCGTATCAGTCAGCGTTAACTATTGCAGGAAATCGAATTTGTGAAGGATGGGAGCTGGAGTCCGCAAGAGTTGGAGCTCTGGTGTCTACTTTTGGTTTACGATTAGCTGGTGTGAAGATCCGTACGTTTACTTGTAATGGGGTTTTAAATAATTATAGACAAGAGTTTTACATGATCGATTGTATTATCACTTTTTATGATCAAAGCTGTTTTGCTTCTGTTCTGCCATGGACATGTATGGTTCATTCTCCTTGTGCAGGTCGAGCCTGACGAGCGCCAAAAGAACGACTTTGCAACATTGGTTTGCTAGAGGCGAGGCGAGACAAGACGAGATTAACTCCTCGGCTCTTCTATCAATTAGATAGTTTATCAATAAAATAAAAGTTTGAGTAATTTTAGAATACTATGTTTTTAACATTTCATATTCAACAATTTGATTAATTTGGAATACTATTGTAGTGACATCCTCGTTATAAACAAATTTCTCTCCTTGAGATCACTCTGCTACGTGTTTCTGTTTGTACCACTGTGAAGCATTAGCTTGCGATATCGTTACAGTTGATGCAAGTGTGTTTTTCTCGTGAACACAAGCCGAGAAAAGCTCTCTTGCAACCAAGATATAATCCTAGTAGAATCACTCATTTATCCCTTGCTTGTGAAATTTCATTTAACCTTGGGAAAACAATTCGATATTTCTTCCAGCATCGTTGACATATTTGTCTTCCCTTGAGTCTGAGTAGAATAGTGACATTGCTTAACGACCACAATGTAGAAGAAAATTCTCCGTCGATGTGTAGACATTTTGGGTATTTGCCAACCCACCCCATATTTTACCTTTGCCGTATCTGTCGTTCTTCTCCGTCGATTTTAGAGAATTTGTGAACTACAAAGGCATCAATACAACTTTTGAGATGCAGAGATTGATTCCTAACAGTGCCATTGATGAAGCTCGTAGAAGTCTTGGTTTCACCTCTGCCCTGGTTAATTTTTAAACGCCACGTCATCATCCCATCTTCTTTTTCCCACTAAACATGTAGTCTAGAAGGAGCAAATTAGGGTTTTCTCCTCGCAGAAGCTCTGCGTTTTGCTCCACGTTAAGCTGCTTCTCTGCTTTTTCCTTGAGTATTCGTTCAATCTCGGCTTTTAGATCAGCTTCATCGTCGTCGTCTTCAGAACTTTCATCATCACCGTTGACTTCATCATCGACATTAGGTGGCAAAGCCTCATGTGTCCCTTCTTCTGCCACTTCACGCTCTTCCTGCTCCCCCCGAGCTCTCGTTGCCATGTCTTGTCTCTCAACTTCAACTCACAGAAATTGCAAACAGGAGGAAAGCACCCACACAAAATATTCAAGACATATATAATAGCATATGTATATGGTCGGCCAAAAACCTAGCTCTATTAGAATAAGTAATGAAAATTCTTGTGCTCCAAGGAAAACAAAAACATGCACAAATTATAATAACTTAATAATCAAAATCCTTGTGCTCTATACTATCTTTTAAGAGAAAGAGTGTTCAAGGGCTATTATAGCCTTTAAATGCCAAGAGTTTAGTATTTGTTTTAAAAATCAAGGGCATTATTATAGTTTAATTTTACTTCTATTTTCTCCCATTCTGTACTTTTTCTCCTTATTATCAATGGGGCAGATTCGTTGTACTACATTTTTTATACATGTTATTGCAGGGGTCCACTTTATAATGTATTTTAACGACTAAACCGTCTAACTTTTAAAACATCAATCATAAATCATTCTTACAAAAAATTAGATAAATCCAAAACTATTAATGCATTTGCTTATAGTGAAAAAAAAATGGATGAATACAGTAAAGAAACTATAAGCCCTTAATCTAACAGTCACATGGTTTCAAACTTGAATGATTTTTTATAAACATGATGAGAAGACCTAAAGGATAGACATCTTTGATTATTAAAATACATTATTAAATAGATCTTACAAAAACGTGTGTAAGAAAATAGCGCCACATATCTATCCCTATTATCTATTATTATCCTAAACACATGCATAGTATACATAAAGGTTGATAGTTAATTGTAAGAAGGTAAAATCGAGTATGGGTTGCTAGTCCCTCACATACTACGTGTAAGAGGCTGCCATTCCACAACTAAGATAACATTGTGACACAATATTGTAGTTTTCTTTTCATATCCTTTTCTTTCAACCCTAAATATATTATCCAATTTCAGCCATAGTGCAATATCATTTCACTTTCAAGCCAAATAAATTGCGATTTAAAGTTTTACACAAAAATGGAAATATAATCGTCAACCATCATATCAAAATAAGCCCAAAACGCATTGGCCAACCAAAATATTTAAAAAAAAAAACAAAAGATAAAGGATCACCCAGAAGCGTGCATATTGACAAATGAAGTTGTGCAGATGGTGCAATAAAAAACAATTGGAAAGAATAAAAGCTACAGGAACTTAAATTGCCAAGTCGTAAGCATCGACGGACGACAGTGAGCGATGATGATCGAGGTCGCAAAAATAGCAAACTCCAAGACCTTTGTGTTATGAGCCTACAAACCTAGCTATGTGGTCAGGATTCAGAACGGTTTGAGGATGCCAGGTCCGAACCAGACGGACTTGGATTGTCTGCCCTCCTAGTTGTGGTGCACTTCTATGCCCTCCTATTTTGTGCGGTCACGGTTAAGCCACGTTAATATTTTATATTTTTATTATTTTTTGTCTTATTATCTCATTAAAAAATTAATATAAAATATTGACGTGGTTTAACCGTGACCGCACAAAATAGGAGGGCATGGAAGGGCACCACAACTAGGAGGGCAGACAATCCTTGTCCGAACCAGACTCTACCATGGCTTTGTCGTTCTCGGTTTTTGGACCTGGGTTTCTTGAGGTTTCCTACTAAAGATTTTTCAGTGTGATCGATATACGGGATGGTACATCACATGTCACTATATAAATAATGGGATATGTGTGCTAAAAAGTTAATAACTTAAAAATAAAATTTTTCACTACTCTTATTAAAATACATGATGTACTACTTATATTCATGTCACAACTAAAATTTTCTCGCACAATAGATAATAAGGTTTTGAGCTGTGAATGTACAGAAACTTACCTACATCTGCTATATTACTTTCTAAAATTTTATGGTAACTGCAACGTTACTTTAGCAGTATCTAGATCAAACTAAACAATACAATGTATTAACTTTTTATATTCAACAATTTGATTAATTTGGAATACTCTGCAGTGACGTATTCTTTTATAAATAAAATTTTCTCTTAGCAATCACTCCGTGTTTGTGTTTTTAATTCACATAATAAAGAGTTAGCTTACGATATCACTAAAGTTGTATTATACAAGTTTTTCTCGTGAAACACAAGCCGAAAAAGGTTCACTTGCAACCAAAGTATAATCTTAGTAGATCATGGCATCCAATAAATATTTATCACATGTTAAAAAAATAAGCTATATTTTTAATACTTACGTGTCACATAGTGTTTTTGTTATAAAAAAAAATTATTTCCATTGTTGGGGATGTTGGTCCACCATCTTCCTCGCCGGATCCTTTTCCTGGAGATCCGAAGGATTCAGAAATCATGTCTGTTCATCATTCATCGTACATGGTGCAGTCAAATATCATTTAAAATTTAAATTTAAATATAAATAGTATCTAACAAAAATTGACCGTACGCGATGAATTGGCATAATTTTTTAATCCCTCGAATCTCAAGATTCTTTTCCGTTAACTCCACTGTTGTTTGACAAGGCAGCACCATGTGAAGCTATCTATGTTTTTGCTTCCCCAACACCAAAAGAAAAAACCAACAAATGGGGAAAAAATAAATTAAGGGGGAGAGATGCGAAGATTTTGTCTTATGCACTTGTTTTATGTTTAGTTGCCAAGGCCCCGACGTTAGCAATCTATGGGGAGGGTTTAGAGAATAGTTCACCTAATCTGTAAAGTTGTAAAAGTAAGATGATAGAAAGCTAGAATTTAAGCAATATGGGACCTCTTGTAGTCACCATACATCCCATAGCATGTGTTCTTGTCCTTGTAAAGATACTGGACGCATAGCTTCGACCTTTTTCTGCTTCATGACAGACGGGCTGTGTCGTTTGTTTTTTGAGGGATCCTAGCATTTGTTTAGTTAATTAAATAGAATAGTAAGACATTAGTAATCACACCAGCGCTTTCTAACAGTTCCTTAAATGTCAATCACACAAATATCTATGATTAGTGGCGGATTTAGAATTCTAACTTCGAAAGAGTTTAGTGCATTTGATGAACATGTAGTCAATTTATATCATATAGTGTACGTGTTGCCAAATACGACAACTTTTTAGTCAGTCTATTGATAGTTGCTTGTTGAACGTATGTTGACAATTTTCGAGTGAGCTTGTTGGCATATGCTGACATCTTTCAAGCGAGCTTGTCGACATATGTCTATAGATTCTTGCAGAGCATTGTCAACACGTGTTGCGTCAAATACCCAAAGGGTACTCCTGAATTCCGTAATATATCTTGAGAGTGTTTAAAGATCTTCTTCTCATGTATTTTTTTCTTCTTCTTATTCATTCTGATCTTCAATGGGTCTCAAAACCACCATGGTCCCTTAATAAATCGGCCTTTGATCAAAATTGAGCGTTTGATCAAAACTATGTGAGTGACTAACCATAATCCACATCTACCTATACATAATCAGGTATAGCGAGGTCACGACATGTAGTGTCGATGTATATGAACAAGGGTGGGTTTGTAAGGGGGACCTGGCTTCTCTGCCCTCCCACTTCCCATACACTCTTATCCCCTCCTATTTGTGCGGTCACGGTTAAGCCACGTCAACATTTTATATTACTATTGTTTTTTGTCTTATTATCTCTATAAAAATAATCAATATAAAATGTTGACATGGTTTAACCGTAACCGTACAAAATAGGAGGGGATAGGAGTGTATGAGAAATGGGAGGGCAAAGAAGTCGGGTCCTTGTAAGGGACCCATTGAATTGATGGAATGGGTCGTTTTTTCCTTTTCACATGGCTCATCATTTTGCCTACAAACAAACGCCATTAACAGAGGAAGAGATGGAGAAAACTCACAAAAGGCAATCCTTTTGAGCCTAGCTAGTAGCTATTCCCAATTGCCATACATGCTTGATTCCCGCCAGGTCCACAAAGTTCGCCACCATTACTGTCACACAACAACTTAGCCATCATCTCATCAAATATTTCTGTTTGTGATGAGGTCCACCCGAATTGTTGTTGTCATGTTGTGGGGTGATGAGTGATGGCTATTGCATGTGTTTCGATACTTCCACGACTTCATGTGTGTCATCTTATTTTATTCCTCTTTGGTTATGTCCATCCCATAGAGTAGTGTACAAAGGATTTAGAATTCGAATTTTTGGGGTTCCAGTGTTAAAGATCAAAGTTTTTTTAAATAGAAACAGAGCGAGAATCGTCTAAAAAAAATTCAGTTTATTCGAGTCATTTTGTCAAACACTTGGTGAGTTTGTTGTGTCAGTCAAACTATATTGCGCACATGTCAACCAATATCGACATATGTCGAGTGTTGTCAACGCAACATGTTAAGATATGACTAGCATATATTTCATCAAACACTTAGTAGAGACAAATGGAACTCATACAAAACACTCGAAGGATCTTTAGAAGACCTTCTCAAGTATATTTTCAGAATCCGGATGTCTTGAGATCACCTTGGTCTCAGTGTGCATCTGCCTCTATATATGACAGTTGGTTGAAAACAAAAACAATAAATTAAGACATTTTCGAGTGAAACTATTATTTTATAATACAGGTGAACGACATAATTCATATATATCGTAAACCCATGATATATTATAATTTATAAATAAATAAATTTATGTAGTGAGACTAATTCACGCATACTCAATTTAGGAAGAGGATCCTCTCCGGATCCACTTTAGTATCCCCACATCTTAACCGTTCATCATATATCATGCAGTTAGTTTTTGTCAAGTACTGTTTGTGTTTAATTTAAAAATAAAAAAAAGTTAAATAATTTATAACTGCACGATGCACGATAAATGACTAAGATATGAGAATCACTAGGATCCCCTTAATTTGAATCTGGATGAGATCCATATCCCTCAATTTAAACACTAAATCATGATTTATGACATCAACACTGAAAATTTTCTCCATTAAACTGGCCAAAACTAAATTGATAACTTCCTGCATATATTTCCCACCTCACCATTTTTTTAAAGCCGCCATTTATGTGTCTTGGACTTGTGTTCGTTCGATGGTGGATGTTCAGCATGGTGTGTGGAATATTACAACCCGCAGCCAGCTGAGCTGCTGAAGAATGCAAGTCAGCTGCTGATAAAACGATAACTAGCTAATTAATCGAGAGGTATATTTCTTAACTAAATTTTATCTTATGAATTGATAAATTTTTGCATGTGAACATCCGGATACATGAGTGCATACTATCGCATAAGTAAGTACCCTCAAACGCAGAACATCCGCATACATGAGTGCACACTGTCGCATAGATAAGTACTCCCAAACGCAAATGTTCGCATGCTAAGATTTCTTCTTCTTCTAAAAAACTTATCATAGACCCCAAAACATTTGACTAATTCTAAGCATACCACATTCATTTCGTAATAAACAAAAACATCTGCCAAAGATCCTCCATGTTAGACATAGTACCAAATCAATTATCAAATGAGGATAATCAATATGCATCATTTTTGAGTTAGGTACATTGGAATTGATTTTCACACACATTTTTAGCTTTTCACACATTCTCGTACATCTCTCTTTATTTATAATCATCGGATATTGAATACATCAAACTGAATCAACGACCATAATTAAATATGAGTGTTAAGAAACTAAATAAAGTGTGTGAAAATCGTTTTCCCATATAATTAATTAATCAAATATTATGAGTGATATAATTGTGTTTGATGTTTTTGGATCAACAGATTGTTTATGAACCGGGGAGAAATAATAATGGTGGTGAATGTCAACGGTTTGAAATGATTTTGGGCAAGGCAACTTGGTTTTTTCTGAAACCCCACATCTGCCCTCATTTCACAATATTGTCCACATTGTTTGTGATGGTTAATCCACTTTTGGTTGTATATATGTTGTCACTACCTTGCTAATAATTGGATTATCATCATCAAAAGAGATAATTGTGAGATTTTTTTTATGATACATATAGGATATACTGTATTTGAACAGCAAGATTGAGTGTCAAAATTCAATTATGTAAAACTAATGACTAAAAACATTTTTGGTGAAATTGTTTTTGGATTCGGTCCTTATTAAAATAACAAGTGAATCATGAAATAGTAATTTATTGCTTCGTGCAAGAAGCACATAACTGGTATTTTGCAAGAAGCATTTTAAGTATTTTGGAACCTAAAAACATTTTGTCTAAAAGAACTTTCAATCGTTTTACAAGCAGTTCCAAACAAGCTCTATATTCCAGTGTCTTGTAGATTTTTTTATCAACTACATGCAATATATAATTCAATGTTTCATCAATGGTTTTGGTAAACTAATGGCTATCGATGGAGAATTCTAACTTGTCTTTCATTTTTCTATGCAATTAGAAAAAAAGAAGAAATGCTAATGAGATTCTGTTAAAGTGAGATTCTCTATGAATATTTTGTCATCTCATAATTTAACGTTAATTATTGTATCGATATTATAAAATAGTATGTCCAGACATAAAATGGCAGAAAAGTTCATATAGTATCCCGTTTTTCAGAAAGTCTCCTCAACAATTCTCATTAGAAAATATTGAAGTCGTTGAATAATCAAGGATTGAAATTGAAGAAAGCTAAATTAGGCATGCACGAAATGTGAATTATAGAGTTATATATATACATGAGCGAGTTCTGATAAGTCAAAGATGTATATGAATGATTGATTAGGTGGAAATCATGAATCAGGATAAAGGATATTCTACATTTACATTAAAAATTCTATAAATTAAAATTAAAATTAAAGATGTAAATGTCATGGTATAATTGACAACCAAATTTCACATAAGGATATATAATAGTGAATAAAAAATACTTCGAAGTTATACTCTAATCATTATCCGAAAATCCCACTCGGTTACTAAATTACCGCTAAAGAGGAGAAAGCAATGTTCATATCAGTCAAGTGGTTTAGTGGTAAGAGTGTAGACTTGGCTTCCCAATAAATAAAAAATATGAGAGGTCTTATGTTTGATGATCCTAGCTGATAAGTTTGTTTGACTGTAATCACAAGCAGGATGAAATTCCCTATAACTTCTCTGGGTTTGGAAATGATAAATAATCGTGGTTTGCCACCAATTATTCTCTTTTTTTTCAACTGAAAAAAAAAAATTACTTATGCACGTAAGACATGCTTGATAGTCATTTAGTTAACAAAATTTTCACCGAATAATAAATAATTAATTTGCATTTGCGTGTACGCGTAAATATAGTGTTTAGTTAGGGAGCATTTTTTCTCACCACCATTTAGTGTGGTGTATGCTTACCACCCTATTAATTACCGTTAGATGAGTTTGAATTTTGAGATTCGTGTAGTGGATAAGCACAAATCTCAAAATTCAAACTCATCTAACGGTTATAAATAAGGTGGTGAACATACACCACTCTAAATGGTGGTGAGCAAAAATACACCTTGTTTTAGTTATACACTAAAATGAAAATGTGGCATGCCTTCATATTCAATTATCACACCAAATGCTCAAAAGGATCATATCACTTTGATGCAGAAAAATAGACCTCAACACTGATAAAGCATATCTATTTTTAATGTAAAATATTGATGTACGTATAAAAAATAAAAAATAAAAGCCATCGCCTAACTTTTCTTCTCCGGTGCAATAAGTTTAGGTTTGAGGCTTAGAGTTTTTTATTTATATAAGTCCTTCTCTATCTCTATATGTTTTTAAGAAATTTTTGTATGTATTTAGAGAAAACTAATTGCGTATCTTGTAATATGATTAAACAAATAACACATACCCCTCCCCTGCTTTATTTAAAAGAAAATGCTAGCAAAATTAAATTTTAAGACTATTTTTTATAAATTACATGATACTAAAGTTAATAGTTAAATTTTTTAAATGATATAAAAAACAGAGTTTTAATAAAACATTGGTACCGTTCATTTTTAAAATTAAAAATATTTTTGACCTAAAAAAATCATTTCAGATACTATTATTTAGATCTTTATTTTGTTCTTTTAATTAAAATATAAATTTTGAAAACTTTTCGTTAATTTTTATTATAAAACAAAAATCAAACAATAAACCGCAACGCCAAGCAGGCTCTCGTCACCCTTATTTAATGGCTTGAATCCTCCGGCTTCATTTCTTTATTGTTTGTAGGGTCCGAAGCACTGAACTCTGCTCGCTCCCCCTGACTCCTCAGGAAACAAAATAACCTTCCCACCTTCCCCTCCACCATCCACTCCTCTCTCTCTCTATCTCTCCAAAAATATCCATCTCAATGGAGCACAGCCCCAAATTCAAACCCCACCTTTCACAGAGCAGCAGCCGAAGAAGGCGAACCAGCACCGATTCCAACTCCCCCGAGTTCGAGTTTTGGAGAAACCCGTCTTGCCCTCAGCCCAATCTCCTCTCCGCCGATGAGCTCTTCGTCGACGGCGTCCTTCTCCCTCTCCACCTCCTCCCCCCTCCTTTTCTTAACCACTCCGACCCACCTGACCCAAATCCACAACCCATCTCACAACCTCCTGTTCCTGACCCAAAACCCATTTCGGAACCCGACCCAGAATCCGAACCCGGTCCAGGACCTGAGTTGTCAGCTGCTCCCGTTCTAACCGCATCGAAGCGTTGGAGGGACATTTTTAGGATGGGCGAGAAGAAATCCGTCAAAGCCGACGAGACTGATAAAGAGAAAGACAAGAAGAAAGACCGAAAGGGCGGCGGCGGCGGAGCGAGCTCGGCGGAGCTGAACATCAATATATGGCCATTTTCGCGCAGTAGATCCGCCGGAAACGCATATACCCGACCCAAACCGTTCGGAGCTCCGGTGACCCGGAAGGTGAACAGCGCGCCGTGTTCAAGGAGCAACTCAACGGGCGAGTCGAAGTCTAGAAAGTGGCCACCTGCGAGTCCGGGTCGACCCGGAGTTCATTTGGGTCGGAGCAGCCCGGTTTGGCAGGTCCGGCGTGGAGCCTCGGCTGCTGGAAAGAGCAACTCCGACCCACAAGCTCGAAATGCTGAAAAGGGGACAAAAAAGGAAGTGCCGGAGAATCGCAGGAGTAAAAAAACTGCCGGAGCCGTCATCGCCGGAGGCAGCGGCTCGAAAGCTAGAGTCTTGAATTTGAATGTTCCGATGTGTATTGGGTATGGAAGCCATTTGAGCTGTAGAAGTGAGAATAGTGCAGTTGGAGTTGGCATTGGCGGCCGTGGAAGCGGCAGCAACAACCGTGGTGGTGATGCTAGCGGCGGCGTTAACGGTGGAGGAGGAAATGGCGGGGCTGTCGGTAATCTTTTCAATCTGCGCAGCCTTTTCACCAAGAAGGTGTATTAAGTACAATTAATCATCTCATTAGTCATTACTTAATTTCATCTCCACCATGTTAAAACTTATTTTTGTATGATTACCAATGGGTCCGTTTTGTATAATCTTCTCTTTCTTTTTCCTCCAAAAGAACCAGAAAAAATGAAGGGAAAAAAAGGGGGAAAAAGTCTCTTTCTTTTTCTCATGTAATTAGATTGAAAAGTAGCTTTATGTGCATATTGTGCCGATTATAAATCAGGTTTAATGTTGAGTTTAGTTTGGACTTTGGAGCACTTTGCATGCTTAATTTATGGGTTTCTGCAGCTTTATTTTGTTGACTTGGGTACATCTTACAGCCAGTATAGCTTGACTTTAATTTTTGGGTTTACTTTTCGATGGTGTACGAGATCCAAATGAATCGGTTTGAGCATGAGCATCTCCTGTTGAAAAAGGGAATGCATTATGTCATGTAAAGTATCGCCTGAATATCCTGTATTACAAAAAGCTCTTCACCCGGCAATTTTAAGGGGTTTCGGTAAGGAAAATGTATGTATTTATGTAACCTTATGTTTAGAGTTCAACGGCGGATTTAAGATTCGAATTTTAGATGGTTCTAGTGTTAAAAAGGTTTAAGTTTTTTAGATCGAAATAGAGCGAGAAGTGTGCAAAAAAAAAGTTTATCCATTGAAGCATTTTGTCAAACACTTGGTAGGTTTGTTATCACGGGCAAATTAAGTTGCGCACATGTCAATAGATATTGATCTATGTCAAAGCAATTTGATGAGTGCTATTAAGAGAATTTGTTGAGTGTTGTCGATCCAATCTGTGAGAGGTATTTCGTTAAACGCTTGGTAAACTTAAAAGGACCGTTACTAAACATTCGAAGGGTCCTCAAAAAACCTATACATGTATATTTCTTGAATTCCGAGTGATCTTGAGACCACCTAGGTCCCATTGTGTGCATCCGACATTTCGTATGTTTTCTTTTACATCTCCAAACGAGACTCCAAAAGAGAAAAGAAGACAACAATCACATGAGTTGAAGAGGGATGGGTTGGGTTCAAATTTAAACTTATAAATCCCTCGTACATTTATATATCTCGGAATATAAATGTATGTAAACTGAATTTCCAAATTTCAAAATTCAAAATTACATCTTGCCGTTATCCTATATAACAATTTGCTAAAGCATGGCAAAGCAATCAAGAAAGAGAGGGATGGGGATATGCTTTTGTCACAAAAAGAAATTGGTGTGGATTTATAGGGTTTCACAAAATTAGTTACTTGTACTAGCTACCTCCTTCTAGTGTACAATTTGAGGATGGTGATAATTCTCCATGAGTAACAAGTGGTCCTTGTTCCTCCCACAAATGAAATGAATAGATTGTTTCATGGCCTTACAAGTTACAATCCAAAAGGATGGTTCCTGTGGTCCTGTAACTCAAAAGACATTTGTTGCTTTCCTTCAACATGTTGTGTTTCACAAGTCTCCATTCGCCACTCGAGTGGAAGCTAGAGATGGTAACGGTTCGGTTTGGGGACTAAAATACTATATCCATCATCATAACCACAAAAACTAACCATATCCATAACCGCAAATTAACCATCGCGTATTATGCATAACTATACCCATTGGGTAACGCATTCCCCATCGGCTAACGGTTATATCCATCTTCATTAATTTTGTAAATATTAATTTCGTCATTAAATATTTGATGTATAAAATGATTTAATGAATGGATCTTGTGAAGCATAAAAATTAAAGCTAAACGTTGATAATGTTGGTTTGATCTTTGAGATCTCCCATAAGTACCATTGAATTCTCATAGATTTTGATTCATATTAAAACTTTTTGAACTTTTCCACAAAATGCAACTCATACAATGCAATTTTTGTATTCTTCAAGGTAATGGATTCGGTGAATAATAAATACATATATGTATATATTTTTTAATACTTTAATACTATGTATAATATATATTATTCGGTTCGGATTTGGGGATAGATACGGATTGGGAAACCCTATAACCATATCCAAAACCATAACCACATAATAATCACGGTTTTTCCCCATACTCAAAATATACCTGAATTTTCATACTCAAATCCAATCCATTCGGGTGGTTATCCACATTTATCAGGTTTAATGGTTAGAATTGTCATCCCTAGTGGAAGCTTGTAGAACAAATATGTTAACATCGTCCAATTTGATCAGTTAAGTCTCAATTCATATAAGGTGATCAAACAAAGGTCAAGGCATTAGTCCAATTCAACAGATTTAGTTTTGTTCAACTTACATCGAGCCACTACAAGAAGATGAATTCAAACTTGGCTGTAAGAGAGTCGATACCTTGGCATAGCCAATTGACCGCGTGAGTTTAACAAGTTTTACTTGCTCGTTACCACTACATTTTTTGAAAATTTTGAGAGATTTTTCAACGTGATCGGAACACAGAGTGATACACCACATATCATATATATATATATAGTGGGATATGTGTGTTAAAAAATTAAGAACTTAAAAAATACAATTTCTCATCACTTATATAAAAACACGTGGTGTGCCACTCGTGTTCTGATCACAATTAAAAATTTCTGAAAAAGTTGGTACTTGGTGGGTAAATATTTTACACAAAGTAATCTTTCCTCCTATGACTACATATTAATATATTGACTCAAATTTGCAAGAGAGGACAGGCGGCTGATTTTGTGGCTATTGCTTGCTAAATAGAACACAAAATGGAAGGGCGGTAGACTCCTTTGTTCAAGATAAAGGCTCGTTGTAATCACCATTATTTTTTGAGAATGTTTTCCCCATCTTTTCCTTTTAGTTTTACCCTTATTTTTGAGAAAGTTTCAAGTAATATGTCTGACCCCTTATTAGTAGTACATATCTTATAAAAGCATGAGGTATTCCTGTATTTTAATCTCATATGATTTTTGCACTAGTCTCATTTAATGTGAGAATTGTCTTACCACTTAAAATAGGGGTGTGATATTCACACACCATATTTTACTTTTCACACACCCTTCTAATTTTCGGCCGTCGGATTGGATGAATTGAAGAAAATTAACGGGCAGAAATTAACAAAAGATATGTAAAAGGTAAAATAGGGTGTGTGAATAGCACACCCGCCGCACACCCCCTTAAAATATGCATCCATTCCATAATAAAGTTAAGGTAGATCCTAACAACTTATAATGGTAATGATAAACACTTGTAATGAAAATGAATAGTATTAAAAACCCACTGGGCCCAGCCCAATATAAATACTGGAAACTGGTGTTAATTTGCAAACAAGCACCACCTCATAAAGTTTGCATGTTTACTACAATTACGCAGGAAAGAGATCATCTCCGGATCTTTTTCACCAAGGTTATTAAATCAAATAATTCGGATCTTTGAAATTTGATTCAACGGTTAAAATTATTATAACTTTTAAAAAGATCTTTGTTTTTAACCGTTTGATCAAATTTCAAAAATCTAGATCACTTGATTCGGTGATCTTGATGGAAGAGATGACCTCTTTCCAATTACGCATACATACGTACAAATAAACAAACACCACCTCATAAAGTTCGCATGTTTATCAAAATTTTCACATGAGAATTGAGAAAGAAGCTATGGCAATTTTCGGACGACTGCTGAGAACTGCTCCAAAATGGCGATCCTCCGCCCCCCTCCGTCAAACCCTATGCCCTAATCCTCCTCCGCCGCTCTGTCACCCGAGGTCCCATTTCCTCCTCTCCGTGCCACCGTAAGTAACTCTCTTTCTCTCAACTTTTCTGAAATTTCAAGATTTTTCTTGGTAAATGGTTTGATGCTTCTAATTAACAAATGCAATGAAGGCTCTTTTGAGCAACAATTTTCATTCCAGTGCGTCAGAGATTGAGATTCAGGTGCCGAAATCAGTGCATAAACCAAAAGCTGTGGTGGTGGTTGCAGCTGTGCTCTCTGGTTTGTTCGCTGGTGCAACCCTAATTGCATATAAAGATATGGCTAAATTGTGAGACGCGGCTGTTGCAGATCAGGCTAAATTCAGCGAGTTTGCAGAGAGCGTAAAGAGAAGAGAGCTCAGTATACAATCAACCGACGAAGCTTTAGCCAATGCACTAAATTGGTCCTTCTTAGACAGTAACGTAACGTATTTCTGCCTCAATATTGTGTGGGACTGATTATTACGTCAATTAGCAATGCATACTTGAACTTGTTTTATTCTGGAATTTTTTTGAATTCTGCACGATATTTCTAAGCTTGCTTTGCCAGTAGCGTTTGCTGGTGCTGTTGAGGGACAAAAGGTTATTGCAGTCAGTTGAATTATTATGTGTGGTTGGTTTGTTCTCGTAAAAGAATCCATCCATATCACTCTTTCAAACAGCGTTTGACACGAGCTTATAACGGGTATAGGTTTCAATCAACGTTCAAATTCCTGCGACACGTGACGCTGCACAGCTTATTGCCAATATGGCTTCTGATCTTGGACTAATAATAGAGTGGTGGTGGTGGTGGTGGCGGCGGCGGTGGTGGTTTAGATGTGTGCCTATCGCGTTTCTTTGTTTGGCGCAGGTAGTGTTAGAGCAATAGTTTTTCGGTTCTATCAGTGTTTCCTCAGTTGTAACTATCACATTTGGGTTATTTTATGCTGCGTTTGTTTGAGCCCTTTGTCATTGATTGTGGTTTTGTGCACCAAAATATATTGTATTGTGCTATCTATCCTTGTGAACCATGTCAGTCGAGTTTCTTGGCAACTAATGATGGCTCGCCCAAAGAAAAAGAAGGAAATTGGAGGTGAAGGTGGGAATCTGCGAATTCATGTATTCCGCTCAGTAATTCCCTTTTCAGATAGATTTGTAAGACTCTCTTTTATGCTGTTTGTGAATATATTGCACTGCAGTTGGTCAGAAGTGTAGTCTTTTGACATTTTCATATCAGTCAGCATAATTATTTCAGGAAATTGAATTTGTCATGGATGGGAGCTGAAGCCCCCAAAGAGATGGATGCTCTGGTACGTGTCTACTTTTACTTTGCAAGTAGATGGTGTGAAGGTACGTACCATCACTTCTAATGGGATTTTAAATAATTATACGAAAAAACGATTCAACGTTTGGTTGGCATTTTACGTTAGCAAGTTCATAATATTTTAATTTACACTTTATGGTGATTAATACCACACCAAGTCAAAACAGTTGAAAATTTAAAAAAGAAAAATCCGACGCTCACTCCTCGAAGAATGATTTGTGTAAAATGGAGAATCAAATAATTGGCCAATTATAAAACTTGTTAGTGATGATC